AATCTTCCACGTCTCCATCCAGGGGACAGGACCTACCAACCTCTGACCTCTGACCTTGTCCCTATTTGAAAGACCCCATCCCTTCTCCCATCTACTTTTTCCCTTCCCCATGGAACATCTTGAGTAAGATTAAAATGAGCACAGTAGTCTGTATGTTACATGTTAATTCCCTTTTCTACTTCCAATTTTTGTTCTTTTTAAATTTCTCCTTATCATTCTCTGTCTCTTACCTTTGAAGATGAAGATTCAGAACCATTATTTTATACACCATATTTTGCCATATATAATACTCACCCATGTTTTTGGCCCAAGCTTTCAGGAAAAAAAAATCTTTTGTTTTAATTTTTTAATTCAATCTTTTATTTAAGTATATAAAACTGATTATCACATTCCAGGGTATTATTTTGCAGATGGATATCGTTATTGCTTTCTAGAGTTACATTTTTAATGCATAAGCATAAATAAAAGAATTAAAAACACTTATATAGATACAGAATTAGTACTACCCATGTATAATGCACAGCCTTCTTTTTCCCTCACCAATGTGGGTACAAAAGTGTGTGTTGTACACAGCAAAATATGGTATTCACTGTCTTCTCTCTGGCATAGCTTAGAACCATAGAGGATCTAATACAGCCCTGCTCTGATATCAATTGCCTAAAAACATTGCAGAGCTGTCTTATTCTTTTGAAATAAGACTACCTTCATATTTCCACACCAATTGGTTTCTGCTTCTGTTTCTTTTAGTCTGAGTCTCCAACTCTCTGTTTCCCATTCTTAATAATCTTTAACTGACTCTTTTGGAAATAAAGAGACAACAACCTATTGGATAAACAAACTCTTTTTCCTTAAAAAAAAATCAATGACCTAGATAGGATCAAAAACTCAGTGTATGTTAATGAATGTAAGATGGTCCTTAACATTAATAAAATACCCACTCTATGGTCAGCACTAAGTGCTGTAAAGAATAAAAAATCTTTAAAAGAAAAGGTTCTTCTCCACAAAATTAGTCTATTTGGAATGTGAAAGGCACAGGAAGCAATGTAGTTCAAAGAACACAATAGTATATTTAATAAGGAACTAAATTGTTAAATACAGTTAATTAGAAAACAATATACGTGTGATAAAATTACTTCTGGTCAGTCCATAAGGAGTTAACCATGATTAGGGAAGGGACAGGATCCCAGGCTGAGATATTTAGAGAAATGGAATCTTTGCTGACCTCAGAGGATTCATAAATAGAAACAAAAGACAAAAACAAGAAATGCACATACATACCTAGAGAGAGAATAAACATCCTGTGAAGGAAAAATGTTGAAGGCACTGACCTTGACCCTAAGGAAAATTTTGTGTTATGCAGTTATCAACATCCCTAAGTAACAGTTATTAATTCAACAATCAACCCATCTGCTACTGAGACATACTTGTAAGTGCTGTCAATCATTAAAAAACCTAAATTCTCGTTCATCAATCCCATAGTCATTTATTGAGTCTGTTATGTGGACAGCATTACATATAGTACATACTAAAGGGGAAAATGTCTACTATAAATTAAATGAGCTAAGAATATCAGGCCTACTAGGTTAAGCACTTTAGGTGTCTTATCTTACATAATCAAATTCAATCCCTCTAGCAAAACTAAGCAAGCATTTTGTTGATTTACACTTTTGAAACAGACTGAGTGTTGCAGATATTGAGTAACTCATTCAGGCTACACAGTTAGTATTGTATAAAGCTTATAATTTGAGAGACAAGATACAGTCATTCAAATAAGTAGTCACTGTGCACTTAATGGAAAAGATACGAAGAAGTTTAAGACTGTACAAGTGAATATATGATTAAATGGGGAAAATAACTTTGACAAAAATTATGATACTGAGCTTTATAAATGAACGTGACCAACTCCTAAATCACTGGTTTTCACTCTTGTTTCACATTAGCATCAAATCGGGGAACTTTAAAAGGATCGGATATTGAGATCCCAGGCCCAGACATTCTGATATAATTGACCTGAGCTGCAGTCTGGGGCTCAGAATTTTTAACAGCTTCTCAGGTGATTCCAATCTACAGTCAAGGATGAGAACCAATGTTTTGGAACAGTGATTCTGAGGCTTTAAAGTTCATACAAATCATTGAGGGACCCTATTGTACTATAGATTGTGATTCAGTAGGACTGGGGTGGGGCCAGGATTCTGCATGCCTTTCCTATGTCTATGTGCGGAGATGGAGGCATGCGTAAAGCACTTACTAAAAGAGGCCTAAGAAGGGGATACTACTTACTGCCTGGGGAGAACGTGGATGAAGCCAAATAACTGGTTTCTCCCTGGACTTAACATAGGTTTTAGAGTCAAAATAATCTGCTCTTTCCACATCAAAGATGTTCTCCTCCAGTAAATTTACCCTTTGGGATGTTCTTATCTCTGAAATCCCAGTTTTTGCTACTCCATGTACCATCTACTACTTGAAACTCAAAATTCCTCCATTATACCAATTCTTAGGTTACAGAGAGAGTTCCAATCCGTCATTCCCAACATTCTTTAATCTATTGATTGATCAATCTATATATCAATATCTATTACTTTCTAAAACCTTTCCTTCTTGCCTTCCAAAGATTCATTGTACATCATAACAATCACTTTCTTGTAAGTAGCCTCATTTGCCCCTCTCTCTGGGTGATATTCATCCTTAGTTACACCAACTATTTTTTTTCCATGTTTATATTCTCCTGACTTAAGGTACCTTGAGAAAATCATACCACTATGCCATCTGGACATGCTTTAAATTCATGACACAAATTGAAAAAGAGCACTTAAGCCTGCTGGCAATATCACAGTCTTTCCTCAATCCACCTTCTCACTTCCAGAAGATTCCTCTGAACTGCTTCTCACTTCTTTAGCTGCTAATGCCCACTTTTTGCTTCGCTCTCAGCTGAAGATCTCATCTCACATTTTATTAAGAAAATTGATGTGATCATGTGGGAACTACCTTATCCTTTCACCTACGCACAAACCATCAGCACCTGAATTCATCTTTTGTCTTTCATCCCTGTGAAAAGGATGGAAATCTGGTTTCTTTTCAAATGCCCATTCTATTCTCATGCTTTAGATCCATTCCTTCATCCGCCCCTATAATTTCATTCGTGTAGGTATTCCACTTTTCTCCAACATCAACTATTCTTCCTTCTCTACTAGGTTGTTCCCACCATAATATGAAGTTTTATCTGCCAACACAACATCAACATCAAAAAAGTTCCCTGGCTTTACTTAACCACTTTAACCACCAACCTATGTCTTTTATCTCCCTGCCTCTCAACACTCTCATCCCGCCCCCCCAAAATCAACCAAGAAACAAAATATGAAGACTTGTCCCAAATGTACATACATCTTTTGTTTTTCCATACACTTAGTCTTTCTGCCACACTATACCACTGAAACTCCACTTGCTGGAGGTTCTAATGATTGCCATGCCTTCAAATCCATTGGTCACTTCTGTGCCCTCACTACTTGACTGCCATGCAGCATCTGCTATTGTTGACCACTTCCTTTCAATTGCAAAACTTTTTCTTTGGACTTCTATGACATCACTCTCTTACCTAACAGGTTGCCCTTTGTCAGTTTCTTGCTGGCTGTTCCCCCCTGCCCAACTTTGAAATGTTGGAAATTCTTATAGCCCAGCTTTCTATCTACAAACTTTGCTTAAATAATCTCCGCTAGTCCTAAAGTTTTAAGTTCCATATATAAATTCATAACTGCCAAATTTATGTTTTATGAAGCTTAAACTTCATTACAAATCAATATATTCATCTTTTTACTTGACATTTATCACTTGAGTATCTAATAGACATCTTGGACTTAATTATTGTCAATGCTCTCCAGCCAAAGGCCACTAGGAACACAACTATAGTTTAATAAGTTGGGTTTGTTACTTGTTTCAGTAAGAACATATACTATGAAGAGCCACAGGACATCTCAGTGAGAGGGTGTTAGAACTTTGGGCTTGTGTTAGATGATTTAGAAAAGGGTTCAAGGAAGTGGGAGCTCTAAGGGAGGCAGGGGTAATCCCATAATTTGGTATTTTAATAGGTATTATCTAGAAGGACTGAAGTTAAAACTGTAATTGAGGAAGAAGCAGCAGTCACTCATATTAGCCAGGATAGAAAAATGTTTGCTCATTTAGGGGAGTTGGGGGGGCGCGACTTGTATAATTTGTTTTTGTCTGTTCAGACATGATTACAGAGTGATCTTATTTCTCTCTTGATCCATCATGGTCACACAGTGGCCTTGTCTGATGTTGATGATCTGTGATTGTTTTCTGCCCCAAAACATACCACGCTTATTTCTGACTCTGCACGTTATTCTCTACCTGGTAATCTCTTTCCCTGCAGGCTCTGATCACAGTGCCTCCTTCCTAGTCACGATCACACCCTTCTTTCTGAGCACTAATCAGTATCTGAATGACTGTTATTCATTTATTCATTTGTTTATTGTCACTGTAATTTAGCTTCATACATAAATCTGCCTCATAACTAAGGGCTCAATAAATATACACTGACTGAATGCCACTGGGCTCATTTCTGCTAATACAACCATAAACAACCAGCAGTTTCACTTTTCGTGTTTTTAACGTAGAAGTACAGCATTCTATAAAAAGAAGTAAAAGCGGGGAGTCAAAGTGAGTCTTGTATATAGAGTGCCAAATGTCTTGTGCGACCAGTCTGTTGGGATGTAGTAAGACTCCAGGACCTGAGACTTTTCTGTTTCTGAATTATTTTCTTTCTCGAAAATTGTATAGGATAACTAACTTCACGGTTTACTCTATTTTTCAGGAACGGATTACGCCCGGATTTTACTTCTGTAACCGCTTTTGGTTAGCCACAGCCTCGGGGTAGTAACCCTACCCGTTTGCGCAAGCGCCTGGTAGCGTATTCGCAGCGCCGAGAGGTTTACAATGCGCATGAGCAACTAAAATACATCCAGGCGGGAAGGGTTGCGCAGGCGCGTTTGGCAGACTCGCTAGGTGGGGCGCTCTTGGAAGCGGCGACCCAGGCATTTGGGGAGCCACGGAAGTCGTATTCTCTTAAATCGTGAGTTTCCAAGGGTTTGTTCCATGGCACGGGATTGTGAGGGGTTAGAAATGAATTCTGGACCGTGACTTCGCTCTTATAGCAGCGGAGTACCCCGGAACCCCCTCCTAGGATCCCCCTGGCCTGCGGCGGGAAAGTTTTGCGCCTGCGCACTAAGCATCCCGTTCGGTCTCGGGTCTGAGAGAGGAAGATCCTTCCCCGCAGAGCTCGCGATCAGCGCTCCTGTAGGGATCCCATTCATTCCTCCTTCCCTTCTTCCTTCCGGCGCTCGTGACCGGTGTGGTATCAGTTCTCCGCTAGTTTGCTTGCGGCCTGGAACGAGCTTTCTGGCTCTCCCTTTCAGTAGAGAAACGATTTCCTCCTGTTTTCTTGCTCAGGTCAAATTGCTCTCCCCACTAAGGCCTCCCCCTTACCTGCATACGCCAGAAGCCTGGTGCCGAGGCAAGGATGGTCCCGGGCACGCTGCCTCTGCATGCCCACAACCCCGAGGCTCCTCTGACTAGAAATTTCCCCTTTGGACCCCCTGCCGATATTTCTGGGATGTGAAAGTGAATAAAATGGGACCATTAGAACTAGCCCCACATTTTTTTGGCGGGGAGGACTTAGCATATGGTTCGTTTTCAAATGTTTGCCGCGTTAGGGACAGTGGCATACTTTAGTGCTTGGTTCCATGAGTGATTTAAACTTGTCTTCTCCGGTATTGTAATTTTCACAGCTGCTTTACTCCCCCTGTGGGCATGACCCCTTAGCTGGCATTTTTGCATCCCAGTTGTTTTGTGATGGAGTCGTCTTTGGGAATTCAGGTGGATGAACCCATGGCTTTTTCTCCCCTGCGTGAGCGGTTGCGGGCCGATGGCTCATTAAAAAAACATGAGCAGAATTTTAAGCTACCAGGTATGTGTGTCATTTCAAAGATGTACAGACAATTCTGTAATTTCGATTATTTTTAAAAACACACGGAACTTCCCGAGTCTTATAGTGGGTTGTGTGTATAAATAAAAGCATTTTTACAAATCAGTAAAGCTTCCTAAGATTTAGGACTGAATTGTATTTTAGAAGGAGGATTGTAGTCCAGCCGTGTCATTTTAACAGATGAAGTTGCTTCTAGTATTAGTGATTGTCGAAGAACACAAAGGTTTTGTTGATACCAAACTAAAGGTTCTCTTCTCCTAGATCTATGTTGTCATGTCTACTCACATTACATTAAGCTGAATTTAGAAATTGACATTGGAGGAATTTTGACTTAAATATTAAAAAGCAGCATTCAATGACAAAAAATATGTGAATAAAGCACTATATCTCAGTATACATCATGCAGTGTTATTTGGCTCTAACCCAGACCTTGAAGTGAGGAAGAGTTCAAATTCCTGATCTCATGCACTAAAATGTACACCTTCATTCCTGTTCTGGAACAGTTCCTGAGACATAGTAGATACTTAGTAAATATTTGTCAAATAGAGGTGTTCCAGTTAACTAGATTTTTTCCTAAAAGGTAGCTAAATCTTCCATCTTTGTCTTAAGCATATTTAGTGCTTGTCCAAAACATACTAGTTTTGAGTATTTGTCCATGATATGTATATATATTTACATACTACAAAATAGACTTTAATAACCCTATCCTAGAAAGATAAGACATCATGTGCTTTTGATTTCTGACTAAAACTAAACTCTGTAAGAATGAATACCCTTTCTGATGTCCCTATTTTTGGTGATAAAAACCACTATTATCCCATTTATTTAAGCTTAAAACTTTAGAATAATCTTCAGTTTATGCTTTGTATTAGCTTCCTATAATCCAGTCATCCAACTTTATCTTTTTTTAAATGTGTGGCAATACCTCTTCTTATTCCCACTTCCAATACGTTAATTCATTCCCTTACACTTTGCTCTTGAATTATAAGAAAGTTTCTTACCTAAACTGCCTGCTTTTACCTTTTTTTTAATCCTCTAGTGTGTGTTATACATTGCTACTAGAATAATCTTAAAATGCCACTTTCATCCAGTTTCATGGATGCTGTCCCTCTTCCCTTCCATTTTTCTTGCAATTACCTGTTTTTCATGGTCCAGTTTTCCCTTACTTCATTGGACACATAATACATAATACAGTCATTGTATTATTTTTCTTGTATTGTTCAGCACTCTATTTTGTATCTTTAATTATACTATGAGCTGCTTGAAGGCAGTTACTCCTGTAGCTCCTCATTTATGTTGTGCCTTATGCAGAATATGTGAATGGTCGTAGCATTATGTTCAGAGGAAAGCTGGGATTCTAATATTCTGGAAACCTGGGAAATAAAGAGTGGGGCTAATTTTATTCCAGATTTCTAAAGTTTTTGTGGCTTTCATGTAACTGAACATTATAAACAGTATGTTTGGTAATTTATAAGACATGTTGACATTTTTTAATATGGTTATAAAAGCTAACGTTATATCAGAAACATAACTTAAGTAAGGAAAGTAAAGCTGGTAAGGTCTAGGCATGTAACTGTCTCATGATCTAATATGATTTACTTTTTCTTGATGGAATTACTTTTAAATGATAGGACTTTTTCTATATCTTTATATTCCCAGAACCTAACAGCGTACATGGTAGGTTCTTGAAAATATTGAATGAATGGTTTAATGCAAGGATATCAAGTAAAATACTTAGTATAATGGGTGGATAGCATGGCCCTTTGTTTTGGGGTATTTGTCAGCTTTTTATAACTTATTGTCTGATAAAAATTATACATCCTTATTGAAGAAAATCTAGAAAGTATAGGAAACTAAAATGAAATAATATTACACTGTCCAAATATTGCCATGGTTTTATATTCCTTTTGTCTTCTGTGCATACAGGTATATTTACTTTAAAAATATTTTTTCCAATCACAGTCGACTGACAATATTATATTAGTTTCAGTGTACAACATACTGATTAGATACTCATATAACTTAAGGAGTGAACATCCCAGTGAGCCTAGTACCCATCTGACACGATAATTCTCTATGCTGAACTTTATATTCTCATGTCTTTTTTAATGCTTACCTGAGGATATGTTCATTGATTTGAGAGAGAGAGAGAGAAACATCAGTGTGGGAGAGAAACAGCAATCGGCTGCCTCCCAAATGCACCCCGACCAAGAATCAAACCCGCACCCTAGATATGTGCCTTAACTGGAAATTGAACCTGCATCCTTTCTTGTGTATGGGACAGTGCTCCAACCAACTGAGCCACCTGGCCAGGGCCATGACTATTTTTATAACTGGCGACTTTTTGGGATTATAGCCAACTTACTTTTAATCTCAATTTTTTACTTAGCAATATGTATCATGAACATTTTGTATGTAATGAAATATTTTGCAGCTTGATTTAAGATGACTGCCTAATGTTTCACTATATAGTATACTATAATTTATTTAATTGCTTTTTCTTACTGAACCACCACTAGATTGTTTTCCTGCTAAGGAAAACTAAAGTACCTGGTGGAGTATTGGACCAAATGTTTTTTTTTCATTCTTTGAGCTAGACTTTAAAAAAAACAAACTACTATATCTCAAATTTAGCAAGTGCTAAGGATCTATTCAGTGAAAGAATGAACTATAAACTTCACATACACTGTCTCTTCCATACTGTTGAACTGTACTGGAACACCTGCTTTCATTGTGTTATATGGATACTCTTAGCCCATGATTCTAAAATTGGTTATAGGTACTATCTTGGTTTGTCTGGAACAGATGTAGTTTATGCTTGCTGTTACAGTATAATTATTATCAGTGCCCATCTTACTTTCTAGAGTGTCTCAGTTTGGGCAAAATTATATGACCTTCCTAGTTATAGGAAGTATAACTAGGCAGTACAGAAAGCCCCAGAGTAAGCATGATAATATATTCCCGGAGTGTCAGTTTTACTCCATGGTAAGTAATTGAAAGCATTTCATTTATATGATATTTATTAAATATCTTATTTGCAAATACTCTCCTGGATGCTAGGGATAAATTACACATAAAACAGACAAAAATTAATGAGCTTAATCCATTGGAGAGAGAAAATAAAAGAAATAGAATACTCAAAACTGATTAATGCTTTGAAGAAATTGTAGAAAGGGGAGATAGGAAGTATTGGGCAAAGAGATTGTGATTTTAATCAGTTGGTAAGAGAAAGCTTCAATGTGGTAATATTTGAATTAAGACTTGAAGTTGGTGGAGGAATGAGCTTTGCAGTTATCTGGGGAAGAGCATTCAGAGAGAGGAAACAGCAAGCTCAAAAGCCCTGAGGTGGGAGTGTGCCTAGCATTTAGGAATAACTAGGTCTTCGTGACTGAAAGTGGAGGGTGATGCGAATGAAGAAGTGTGGAGAGAGGAGTAGTTCTTTGGCTTTTATGTGGAGCAAGATGTGAAACTTTTAGTGTATTTGAGCAAAATAATGATATGGTGACTTAGCCTTAAGAGGATCACTCTGGCTGCTGCCATACAAGACTATAGGCCGAGGGCCAACAAGCATGAAAGCAGGGAGCATAGTTCAGGAGACTATGGCTGTATTAAAGCCAACTTGGATATATTATGTAAAAGAAAAAACAAAAAGACCTTGATGTATAACATATGGACATTTAAATAATTTTTTGTAGCTTGTGGACTTTGTAGGGTCTTCCCACAGTCCTCAGAGTATATGTATTGATGGGTCTTGGCCATTAGTATTTTCCAGTTTTTGACATGAGTGTTCTCTTCTGCCGTCTGCTCTCATCTCCCACTTCAGAATTTGAGGATTTTGCATTCATTTTGGTTTTCAGAAAGTTTTACTGTTGTTTAATAATGTCAAAGTTTTCTGTAGTAACAGGAAACCTTAATATAAACATATTTAGTGTTTCATAAAGGTAGGTAAGTACATAAGTGAGTAGCTTTATGGAAGCACGTTAAGCTTACATAGTCATTCACATGGCTTGTGAATAACTTACTAAATATTCTTATACATATACTTTCTTTTAATTTTTGTTAAAGATTATCATTATTTTTAGAGGAGAAGGGAGGGAGAAAGAGAGGCAGAGAAACTTTGATGTGTGAGAGAAGCATCAGTTGGTTGCCTCTTGCAAGCCCCCAGATGGGGACCTGGCCTGCAACCCAGGCATGTGCCCCGGCTGGGAATTGAAACAGTGACCTTTTGATTTGAGTGATGATGCCCAACCCACTGAGCCACACCAGTCAGGACTTATCACATACGTTTTCTTTCTGGTGATTTCTAACAGCTAACCAGTATCTCTACTTCTAATTGCCTAAGGTGCTTATACAAAGGGAAATTCCAGAATGTTCATCTCATGGGAAAACCATAGACTTTTGTAGCTGGAAAGTAAAGTCCATCTAATCTAAACCCTTTGTTTTACAGTTTAAGAACTGACCACTCTGGTTTAATGATAGGCATTAAATTCAGATCTTTTAGATTCTTGGCTTTCTTCTCTATCAACACTGTCCAAAAGAAGATTCTGTAATAATGTAAATGTTTCTGTATTGTCACATGTGGCTGATGTGACTGAGGAAATTAATTTTTAACTTTATTTAATTTAAATTTGAATAGCCACATGGAACTAGTGGACAGTGGCAACTGTCATCCTACTACAAAGCTTTGCTGTTGTTAATCATTGTACACAATGACAAAACATGCACATAAACACTTTAATACATTTAATAATAAAAAAGACTACAAATAAGGTTCCTAAAATATTTCATCATATCTAAACATCATTGAGTGTTAGGTACTACATTTTATATACTACTCAGAAATGTTGCCAGTTGTACTATTACATAAGACTTTATCACCTAGAATGTTTTCTTTCATACTTAATGAAGAGTTTTTTTTTAGACTTAATTAGACAAATAATTGTATATCTCAGGTACGGACTTAAAAAGGAAAATAAACTTTTTTGCTATGTCTTTTCTGAGTCACTTTTTTGTATGCTGAGTTATTGATAGTCTACTTTTCCCCTCACAGTATTATTCTCTGTATATTACTGATACAGAATTTTTTTTGGATGAATCCATTTTTTTTTAAGCCATTGTTCATGGGCCCTTTAGAAGAGCCCAATTATTTGGAGCTTGCCTATATTCGATGATTTCTTCACGACCTCTACTGCGTCTTCCCTACCACCATTTGGCACTTGAGGGTTAAATATGAGTACCCATCTATGGTTTCTTGGATTTTATTTGAGTCACTGACACCTATTTTGTTAGCTTTGGTGCTAGCCAACAGTTGCAAGTTGCATCCCAATTTCAGAGTTGTTAAAATGTATCTTAGAATCAAAGAAATGTACTAGAAGAGGTACTATCAAATGGAAAGGCACCCATATAGTGCCCTTCCTGTGGCACTGGAATTTGAAGCTGGTTGAAATGGACACTCGGGAGGAAAGATTCTAGTGAACTGTGGGGACTCTGACTGTTACAAAGCCTGCTTTTCCCCTCCAGGCCTGGTTTTGGTTTCTAGAGTGAAGTAGTGTGGTAGCTGATAGTGAGGTGGCTTCTACTGTCCTTGGCTTCAGTCTGCTGTGATGTCTAAACTTTAGGGGTTTTTTGGTGGTTTTGTTTTTTCTGCAGCTATATCTGAATCACCATCATGATGGTAATAATTCATTTATTCAACAAACATGCCAGGCACTGTGCTAAGAGTTGAGTGTACTGTGGTGAATTATACAGACAGGGAGCTTTTATTGTTGGAACTTATATTCTAGTGGGAGGAGGCAGACAGAGAATGAATAAATAAACAGGATAATTTCATAGTAGATAAGTATTCCGAAGACAATAAACAGGAAGGCGTGAGTAATGGAAGGACTGCTAATTTAAGTAAGGTGTCAAAGGAGACTGTGACAACTGAGCCAGCCACATGGAGTTAAAAAGGAAGAGGGAAGAGGATTTCAAGCAGAGGGAGTAAAATAATATGAGCCAAAGCCCTGAAGAAATAGTAATGTTAATAACGAACAACAATAAGAATTACCACTATTATTTATTTAATATTTACTATGTGCCAGGCGTTGTGTTTAAAGCTTCTTCTACATTATGTTATTTTATTTAATCCTCACAGTATCTCAGTGGCATGGGTAATGTTACTATCTCAATTTTTTATAGATGGGGAAACTAAGGCTCACAGAGATAAGTTGTATGCTCAAGGAAGGTTGTACCAGCTGGTAAATAATGGGGCCAGGATTTTAACTTAAGCTGTCAATCTCCAAAACTGGTACTTTTAATTACTGTTATATTGCCTCTTGTATTGAAATGATGAAGCTTTTCTAGTCACCTATGAAGTAGAAAGGGGACAGGGTGTTGAGGGAAATTTAAATAAGTTTTCCTATTTTTCAAATGGGCTGATACAGTGGAAAGAATGCTGAACTAACCTGCTATTCTCCAACTCTTAATGTTCTTCGAATCTCTCAAATTATCCACTAGTCATCTTCCTCCTTAAAAAATCTATGGCTTTCACTTGCATTCTCTGCCTTTCCCTTCCTTGGCCACATTGAATTTCATTATTTGCCCCACCCTATTCTCCCCACAATAATCTATGCCTTTTTCCTTTTCCACGTCTTTGCATACATAGTTCCTTCTTCCTAAAATGCCTTCTTCCACATATTCTACTTGGAGAGTACTTCAAAATGCAGCTTAAGCTTCCTTGCACCTTCAGGAGAATTCATTTTTCTTCCCACTTCTACCTAGTAATATGTGCATTCCTCTATTATTGCAATTCTCATCTTGTATTAAGAGTAAGCTTTTAACATCTGTCTCTTCCACTAGAGTAAGCTCTTAGAGAACGGGGGCTGCACCAAATTTGTTAATTTTTTAAAATATAGCCATTGCTGAGCATTTGTTTAAACACAGTGTGTGTTAAATAAATGAGTCTGGAGACATCAGCAATACCTCTGTGAATTTGGGCATTATGATTTAACTTCCCTGAATGGGATTTCTTTATCTCCAAAATCAGGGTAATAGTTTCTGTTTTGCCGATAGCACAGTGTTGTTGTGAAGATCAGAAAAGATAACACATGCCAAAGTGCTTTGAAAATGTCTTAAACTTTTACACTGTGTGGAGTATTATGATAACTTAAAAAGTAGCTGATGCCTGGCCTAGATATTGGAATAAAATCTGATGACTCAAGTATAAAGTTTTCTTTTGTATCCCGTAGTTCATTGCATTTTGTAGTATTGCTTCTCCATATTTTAACCATGTATCTTTGTGTAAAGAGCTTGTATTTATTTAAAAGTAGCAATTTATCTGTTGTCTAGAGGGTACTGTTGGTAATGGGACAGTTTTTAAAAAAAAAATCTTTTTCGACTTTCCCAAGAGCTTTAATAGACTCTCTCTCTTAGGGAATACAGTGAATATATAATACATAAAACTTTCCCAAGCTCGTAAAATTTTATATCTTTAGGGGAAGGAAATAGTTTTCAAGAAGATTGCATTGTGTCCTTGTCCTGCCATCTAGTGAGCATAGCACACATAGTTTAGTTACTATTTTTTTAATTTAGTTTCTTCATTGTGTTATACTCTAGGTAAAGACAATGTATCTGTTAGTATGTTGTAATTCCAGAGTAGCAGAAACTGTGTGTGTGTGTGTGATTCTGGGTCTTAATCAGTTTTGTCTGTTAGTTCAAGAGGTATATGTGAGTTACAGCAACTTGATATGGTTTTAATTATTCTATCATGATTGTAAGACTTCTACTTGTTTATTTGTAAAAATTCATGTTTTAGAATTTATTTAATTAAGCTTTAACTTTAAAGTATACTCTCATTAATTGTAACTATAAATTTTTTTTTCCTTGATAGGTGTTAAAAAAGATATTGAGAAGCTTTATGAAGCTGTACCACAGCTTGGTAATGTGTTTAAGATTAAGGACAAAATTGGAGAAGGTAATTTAGGGATATATTTTATTATCTTTTTTTTTTCCCTTCTGTTTTCTTTGTTTAATTTTGATGTTTATTATTTCTTATTGAAAAATAAACTCCTTTTTAAAATATTAAGACCATGTTTATAGTAATATATTACTAGTAGTAATATAATGGTAACAACTCCCCCACACCCCAGAAAGAATGGCATAGAATAAATATTTATAGTAAAGTGAACAGTCCTATTTAATCCTTATACTTTTGCGTATATGATTAATGATAATTAATTGAAAAACAATGATTCAAATGGGGAGATTTGATAAAAGCACCTCAAATCTTTCTCCTCTTTATTTGCTGTTAGGTAGAATTGTACATTGTAACATACATGAAAGCTAAGACGGCAAAATATGAAAAGAAAGTGGTATAATACAAGATGGTCAGTATTAACATAAAAACCATTGATTGAATGAAGGGTGAATTTGGCAGACAGATGTGAAGACAATGAGTGGATAAAGATAATGGAGTTTTTTTGATGATTATATAGAGAAATGCCTAAATATTAAAAAATTTCCATATACTTTGTTGTTGCTTTTCACAAGGAAAAATGTTAGAAAAGTCTGGATTAGTGGTGGCAGAGAAATTAGAAGATGATATGATTTGGGATATAAGAAGTAGATCTTTACACCTTTTTCCTTATCTTTTTTGAACACTGACTTAATGTGCAAAAACTTTGTTCTGGAAAATAATGGTGTCCTAACAAATTGATTACTGTTTATGAAACGGGGGGGAAGAGGAGAATGTCCGAAGGCCAAGTAAGTTTGGAAACAATCGTGTGTATTGTTTCCTTTTGGTTGTTCATGATGAACACATTAAAGGCTCTGGAGAATTTTGTAATAAAAAAAACCCACAAAACTATCAATTTTTTGGTGATAGGCTTTAGTTAATGCTAAATTTAAAAGCCAAGGTGTTTTTGTAGGTTTTTCCCCCGCTAAGACTATCATTTCTACTTCTAACAGACCAGTATCTGAGTCTTAAAGTAATTTCAAATGATAATATTACAGAAAAATACTTGTTAGAATGGGTTATGACATTATGCTAACACAATCAGACAGATTTATGATAGAGCTTTGGTTTATTTAATATCATTTCCCCTAAAGAACTGAGGATAATTAAGAATTCATTAAAAATTGAAAATAAGTTATATTCACAGCTGTGTTTACTCTATGTATTCATTGTTATTAAAATAGTGATAGATTATGATAATTGTATGGGTTCTAAACAGTTTTTATGATCTTTTTTAGCACTGTTTTATTAACATTTTAAAAACCAAATATTGAAAAATCTAATAAATTGTTTTACAGGCACTTTCAGCTCTGTTTATTTGGCCACAGCACAGTTACAAGTAGGACTTGAAGAGAAAATTGCTCTAAAACACTTAATTCCAACAAGTCATCCTATAAGAATTGCAGCTGAACTTCAGTGCCTAACAGTGGCTGGGTAGGTGATTTAAAGACATTTTAATTGAACTGCCTGTATATAATTTTTAAGATTTTTAAGTAGTTATCTAATGAGGATAGTAATATTGTCCATTAATTAAACATATTTTTCAGTCAGTTGTTTGTAATTTGCTAGTGCTTTTCCTCTAACCTTGGAATGATTAGTTAAATTAATACTAATTTTTGGAGTTGATTTCACTTGAGGCTAAGCTCGACTTCCTGTTTTTTACCACTTTTTTTCCTCATCTTCCTGCCAAAGCATAAACCTTGGCATCATGGTCTAGATATTTTTTAAAATGTGGGGAACTCATGTTTCACATCTCCCCTGCTGTTGACAGCCTCATCTCATATTTTATTTTGAGCAACAGAACTGTCTGGCACGTCTTTCTCGTTGGTCTCTCTGCTAGGTAATTCTTATCAACATAACGGATATGATCTACCATCTCTTGTCCCCACCCCTTCCTGCTTCCATCCTGCCATCCTGCTTCCAGCTGCTCCATCATTTCTTCGTTCCCCTTGACAGTCAGACTTCTCAAAAATTATCTACATGTGCTGTTCTCACTGCCACACCCCGCATTCACTATACATAAATGTGGCTGCTGTTCTCTGTGCTAAACTAAAACTCCTTTAGGTGCAGTCAACCATGACTTAATTTTGCAAGTTCCTGTTTCTGTTCATATGAACTCTGGGCAGTTTTTAACATAATTGATTTGAACCTATCTTCTGAGTTATCTACTGCCACATACTTCTTTTTTTTCCTGCTGTATTTGGCCTTTTAGTTTCAATGTCCTTTGCCAGTTCTTCCTCTCCTTCCTGACCCCTAAATGTTGGAGTTACTAAGTGCTTGATCCTGACCTTTCTTTCTCTAGACCCTTCCTAGACTCCAGGATCATGTATTTCCATATGACTTTAAATACATAGTAACGATTCCTATTAAGTATATATCTAGACTCAGACCTCTAAACTGTGGATTTGTATATATCCACCTGCTTATGTGACATATTCCACTTGGGTACCTAATAAACATCTCAAACATGATATGCCAAAAACTAAATTTTAATCCATCTTTGCCTACCAAAAAAATCATATTACAACAACTGATTTTTATATGCCCGTCTCAGTGAATGGCATGACCATCTCTAGCCAGTTGTACAAGCCAGAAACCTAGTAATCGTCCTCAGTTTCTCCATTTTTCTTCTAAACCACATTCAACACCAAGTCTTGGCCACTTTGCCTCCAAAATATATATAAAAACTCATCCACATCCATTTTCTCAGCCACTACTTAAATTACTGTAGTAGCCTGCTTCTTCTCTTTCCTCCCCTAATCTCATGGTTGCAAAACAACCAGAGTAATCTTTAAAATATAGAAATATGTATGTATGTAATATAAGTTGGATATTGTTATTTCAACCACTCAAAAATCCTCCAATGCTTTCCCAGATTACTTTGAAAAAAATCCAACCTTGTCTCATGCCAGTCTCCCTTACCTCCCTCACTGTGTTCCAGTTTTTTAGTGTCTCACATTTGGCTCAAGAGCCTTCTTACCTCAGGGCCACTATTACCCATACTGTTTCTTCATTTAAGAAGACCTCTGACAGTGCTGGCTCCTCTTCTGAGCAAGAGCAGCACCACTTCAAAGAGGCCTTCCCTGAATTAAATTAGATTCTTTGTCACAGCACCTTTTGATCTCTTTTAAAACTTATAATCTGTTATTGTTACCTTGTTTATTATCTGATGGTAAACTCCATGAGGGCAGAAGTAGTGTTAATTTTAATTCACCATTGCATTCCTAATGTCTAACATAGTGTCTAGCAACTAACAGTGCCCACTAAGTACTTACAGAAAAAAGAAGCTTATTTCTTTGTTTCATCCTTCTGTTTTTTATAGAAGACAAGAGGATGAGATGGCCTCTCTAAGGCATGATTACATACATTCTTGTACCTTGAATGAGATCATTTCTTTTCCACACTTTAAATATCTCACTCTACCACTTTCTCTTTCCCTGTACTTCCAAACAGTGCACGCTAAAAAAGTCCTTATGTGATCTTGCTTCCCTTTTAGCTTCCACACTGGTTTTTCTTCTTTTCTTTGCCAGATATTTCAGGCAAATTGTCTTTATGTTCTAATTCTTTTGTATTCTCTTTTTCCCTCCTTAAATCCTTTTTTAACTCCTCCTTTCCACTTAAGTTGCTTTCTGAAAAATTACTGGTTAATTCCTCATTGCCAAACTAAAAGCCTTCCCTCTCCTCTTACTATCTTTGACCTCCACGATCACCCCTTCCTTCAAAACTCCTCACTTGGCTGACATCTCTGTCTGGGCTTTCTGCCCCTTCCTCCTTATTTTGCCCTTCACCTTGAAACTTTTCCAAGGTTCAGTTTTTTCTTCTCTCTAGTCATTTTTACTCATTTATGTATCACTTCTCTGTAATTACTGTCATGGACTTTTCACTTAAGATTTAGTCATATATCTAGAAATCTATCAACATGATGAAGTCTTGGTTTTTGAAACTTCTTTATCTGATTGTATTTTATTGGTATTTATGTTGTTTTACTCACTTACGTTCAAAGCCATGGAAATCAACTTGACCCTGTTTTCCTCATCTTCTTCATCTTTTATGAGATGCATTGTAGCATAGCAGTTAAAAGCATAGACCTGGAACAAACTGCCTGGATTCAAATCCTGGCTCCATGACATACTGGTTTAATGGGGAACTTCCTTAACCTCTCTCTGTCTCAGTTTCCTTAGAAAAGGGGGAGGAAATGATACCGCCATTCTCTCAGGGCTGTTGTGAAGATTAAGTGAATTTGTTAATAGATGTGAAGTGCTTAGATTCAGACCTTGGCATATACTGACTGCTTAATAAATGTTAGCGGTTTTTAAAATAATTTCTTACTCATACTATCCTATCTGCTACTAATCTTGTTAATTCTTTTATTAATTATTATTATTATTTATTTTTAGAGAGGTGAAGGGAAGGAGAGAGAGAAACATTTATTGGTCTTCTCCTGCACACCCCCAACTAGGGACCTAGCCCACAACCCAAGCATGTTTTCTGACTGGGAATTGAACCAGTGACCTTTCAGTTTGCAGGCCAGCACTCAGTACACTCAGCCACACCAGTGAGGGGGTTAATTCATTTTTATTCATCATTTTTTCATTCTGCCACTCCTCTAATTAAAATGATAATTATATAATGTTTGAATTATTATAGTAACCTTATAAATATAATGGTGATATTTTTGTTTTTAAAAAATATTTTATACAAGTCAGTTGAATGTGTATAATATCCTGTATGATGATAGTTTTAAGTTAGTCTTCTAACATTATTTATGTATTGCTAAAATTGCATTTTAAAAATATAGGCATAAAGTTTTCCATTTATTTGACCTTTCCTCTAAAGTTTACTTTGCATTTTTTCACTAGGGGGCAAGACAATGTCATGGGAGTTAAATACTGCTTTAGGAAAAATGATCATGTGGTTATTGCTATGCCATATCTGGAGCATGAGTCCTTTTTGGTAGGTTTTGATCTTTCTGGAGTTTTTACTAAGTATTTAATTGAAAAAATTTTATGACCTTATTTATAACTTTATTTTAGGACATCTTGAATTCTCTTTCCTTTCAAGAAGTACGGGAATATATGTTTAATCTATTTAAAGCCTTGAAACGTATTCATCAGTTTGGTATTGTTCACCGTGATGTTAAGCCCAGCAATTTTTTATATAATAGGCGTCTGAAAAAGTAAGTATGGAAAGTTACCAGAAAATATTTATACTTGAATGAATTTGTGCTATGGGATCCATCTCTTACACTAAAATATACTGCAACAAACATGCACAGATTTTGTGTGTTTCAGGTTTTCATCGTGATCGGAAAAGGGAATATAATGAAGAAGAAGATAAAATTGTATTAGTAAAACAATGTACATCATTAGATGTTCCATGGCTTGGTGGAACTAGCACTCAGTTAAAAGAAACTTAGAAAGGGTCTAGTCCTTTTTGACTTTACACATTTCTCTTTATCTCTGAGCCATTTATCTATATTTGTTTTCTATTAAGTGAGGGGATTGGACACATGATGGCCAATTTCCTATTTTAACACTTAAGTTTTGTGTTTATATCTTTTATGATGATATATGTATACATAGAGGCATTGCAAACTTATATGTTACTGTTCATTCACTGGAACATAGTAAGTGTGGTAAGAAGAATAGAACTATAACTTATCTCCTTGGGCCTTTCTATTCTTGAGTTTTTTCTTAAATTTTCTTTAATTAAATCACATTTTAAAACTGAAAGTTATTTGCTATGATGACATTTCTGACACCTTCAGAGAAGAAAGGATTATGTTTATATCTTGCATTCTTTGTCTGCTTTATAGTACGAGCCATTGGAAAAAGGGGAAAAAGATTTGTGTGTGTGTATGTGACATCTTTCCTTAATTTTTAATTCTAATTAGCTATTAAATTTTTACATTGTCTATAAAACTTACTTTCTTTTTTCAAGAATGTTATAAATTCTTAATTGGTCACCAAAAGAGTTACAGTTTCTGTATGAATGTAGATCAAGGGTACTATGATGTTACTAAGCTTTAATTGTTATAGAGAATTAAAAACTTACTTTTGTTTCTTAGGTACGCCTTGGTAGACTTTGGTTTGGCCCAAGGAACCTATGATACGAAAATAGAACTTCTCAAATTTGTCCAGTCCGAAGCTCAGCAGGGAAGTAGTTCACAAAATAAATCACATGTAATCACTGGAAACAAGATTTCCCTGAGTGGCCCAGCAGCACCTAAGGAGCTGGATCAGCAGCCCACCACAAAAACTTCTGTTAAAAGGCCCTACACAAATACACAAATTCAGATTAAACAAGGAAAAGATGGCAAGGTTCTACCTCTTTTATTTCTTAAGTACTAACAGGGTTTTAGAAATGTACTACTTCATCCAACAGAGGGAGATAGAATACTAGGATAATACTTGCAATTTAAAATAATTTTTACATTTGTTATATAGCCAGTTGATTAGATTTTTTTCTAAGATTTATAATGGACTGTTTTCCTATTTATTTATTTATTTTTTTTGCTTTCCTGTTTTAAAACTGAAATTTACTTGGTAGATTTATGATGTCTTGGTCATTACAATTACATGATATAACAGAAATGGAAAATAATAAAATTTCCCTGCATGTTTTAAAGTTCAGATTAATTATACTTTTTACAAGAAAGCATTAGTTACAGGGGAAAAATTCTGAAGTGTCTATCTCCATTTTAGCTGCACCGCAAAATATAACATCCATGCAGGTGGTTTTTGAATTTTTTTAGTTTATATATTTGTGGACTATGATAACATTGTATGGGTGTTAAGAGTTCTGTCTAGAATATTTTCTCCTTTCACAGAAGTGTTTGGTGCCTGAGAATGACTTGGATGCAGCTGTTTTTGTTTCATGTCACTTAACTCTTTCAAAACTATGGCAGAGTACAGCTGGCAGAAAGTGTTACAGATATAATCCTTATTGTCCTTGTTTTTGTTGGTATTGTAGGATGGATCTGTAGGCCTTTCTGTCCAGCGCTCTGTTTTTGGAGAAAGAAATTTCAATATACACAGCTCCATTTCACATGAGAGCCCTGCAGTGAAAGTAAGTAATTAGCTTATTAGTGCAATCATCAGTTAGTCATACACTGAAGAAAATTTAGGGAATGGCTAGATTATCATTTATTAGGAAGTTTTTAAAAGTAGAGTTTTGCTTTGGCAGAAAGTATTGCTTGCTTTGAGTATCTAGTCAACACTTTTATCCATGTTTTTTTCCCCTGAAAACTCCTGATGGAATTTTTTATTAGCTGACTGTTGTTGCTCTTTCTCTAAAGGAACATTGGGCATTAAGCCCTTTTCTCTCACTGGCTAGAATGTGAGCTCCCAACAACTAACACATTCCTGACACAATTGATAGTGTAAAGATGTTTGTAAAGTTTATAAAGTTGTTACCAATGTTAAATTATCTTAAATTGACTTAAAATATCCTGTCACAAGCTAGCTGGCATGAGCAACAAATTACAACTTTGATTTTAGCCGATGTAATTGTGCAGTTTACAGTTCTGAAATGGAGTTAGACACTAGAACGTAACTTGTGTAAGTCAAATATTTACCAAACTAGGACTAATTAGTAAATTTTAATACATTTATTCAACAGGAAAACCTAAAAGACCTTAAATGTTTTAACAGACAAAAGTATTTGTTTATAATCCAGTAGCACATTCAGCAGTTTTAACAGTTACGCACTTTGCTGTACTAGCATTTGAAAGCATCAGTTAAATGTCAAGAAAATAGAAAATACGGCTTTTCTTTTACAGCTTATGAAGCAGTCAAAGACTGTGGATGTACTATCTAGAAAGTCAGCAACAAAGAAGAAGGCCGTTTCTACAAAAGTTACGAATAGTGGTGTGATGAAGAAAAGTACCAGTTCTTACCCAGCTAGCCAGACCTGTGACTGTTATGCAACAGATAAAGTTTGCAGTATTTGCCTTTCAAGGTAATGTGTTTTGATGGTGCTATAAAATCACCACCATGCTGCTAGACAGGATTAGAAATTGCATTGATTTTGTTAGATAATTGATTCAGTGAGTGAAAGTGAGTAACACAGTCCTGTGAACTGCATAGGCACTGATTGAGAGCAATACCTTGAAGAGCTATTGTCATACATTGTTCTTTTGACATGCATATGCTCTTCGAAAAACACACATGCTCTTATATTTTTTGGTGGGGGAATAGTCTTTTTGGAATTTTAGAATGGTACATCTTGCTCGTTTATTTAATTTTTTGTTTTTCTTTCTTTATTCCTGCCAATGTAGAATAACCAGATAAATAATAGAGCTCTTCTCTTTACTTCCACCCACAACTCTTTGCCACATAAATTTTTCTTTTCCTTCAGGACTTAGCTTTCTTGAGCCTTTCCTGATTAACTCAATAAATGAATTAACAAGTATATTAGTGAATAAGTATTACTCCAAATAGAAATGAAATTTCATACCTCTGAATTCCTGTTGAATTCTGTTTTTCTATTATGGCTCCTATTATCTATTACCTCTTTTTATACCTGGAAGTTACCTTAAAACCTTTCTGGAATAAGGCCCGGGAACTATTAAAAGATGGTGGAGAAGGATCTGTGGAAGCAAAATTTAGGATTTTCGTCGCATTGGATTATCATTGACTTTATAATAACGTCTATTTATATAGATATCAAGGCAGAATATACTGTGAACTAAATGGATAAATGTTACTTTTTGATCTAAAATAATCAAACTTTCACATAATTAGGAAAATCTTATTTTTTCATCAAGGCGGCAGCAGGTTGCCCCCAGGGCAGGTACACCAGGATTCAGAGCTCCAGAGGTCTTGACAAAGTGCCCCAATCAAACTACAGGTATGTTGCACTAGAAATACAGTACCCAAATAAAATTTATATTTTATTTTATGATCTTATCTATTTATGACTAATATTTGAGGTCTGCTTTTAATTATGTAAGTGGTTCTAGCACTGTTTATGAAAGTTTCTAATCCTAATTTTCTTTTAAAAAACAATTTTTTAATAGATCACATTTTAATTATTTACAAGATGATTTTACTAGGAATTTTGTTAACATCATCTTTGTGGCGAATAAATTGTGTTTAGTAGTCGTTGCTAACCTAAGACTTGGCAGAATTTTATCTATTTGCCTAATACCTCAAAAGTTTTCTGTGATGCACATATGATTGTGTGTTTCATTAAAATTATTTTTTGTTATTGTGAAAGCAGTGTAATAGCATTAAAAAGGTTTTTGAAAATTAAGTTGTCATGGAGCTGAAACCCAGAAACATCTTACTGAGTAAATGAATCCTACCATTCACTAGGATTGTGGATGTTAAAGAAATGCTTTCTTTCGTTGTGTGTATTCTGTGTTTGCTGATGATAGGAAAAATGAGTGAAACTATCTGCTTATACTCTAGTTAGGGCACATTGTCAACTAATCTTAAAATAACTCAGTGAATATGGTTACAAAACTTTATATAGTATTTTAGGGATACCTAAACTACTGTTAATTGAAAGGATTTTGGAAGAAAGTTTATGACGGGCAAACCTCTGAGAAGACAGTGTAAGTTAGGGTGGGGGTTGGCAATCGAGGCATGAGCAGAGGAATTCATTAAAAAGCATAGTCTAATCACATAGGAATCAAAAGTTTAGTGTAGCTAAAATATAAGATGGAAGTCAAGGAGTGATGAGATATAAACCTGTAAAGAGGTAGACAAGGTCAGATCACATTTGTTAAATGGCTTGGACTGTATCGAGTAGGTGTTAAGAGTTATGAAGGGAAAGAGATGGTAATTTTTCTAGATGGATTATTCTGGCATGTGTGCAGAGAGGATAGATTTCGGAGAGGATAGATAGTGGTGGCCTGCAGTGGCCCAAGTGAGAGAGGATGAAAGCCTGAATGAGATCCTTAGTAATAAGAATGAAAAGAAGAAAAATGAATGATTGGAAATGCAGAGCTTAGTGGATACTAGGGTGTGGGGAGGTGAGGGGGAAGGCCTCCGGGATGTTTATCAGATTCCTAGCCTGGGGACTTGATGGACACAAGTAACCAAGGTGGAGAATAAAGAAGCAGCAACTAATTTACAGGGAGATAGAAGGTTGGAGTGTAATTGGTTTGAGATATTTTGGGGGTATCCAGATAGAGATGTTCAACAGAATAAAAGTAAATCTTAAGCTCAGGGAAATCTGATTTGGAAATTCAGTTGGGTGTCATTGTTATATAAATGGTAGTTGAAGCCATGAAGTGGACGGGCCAGTGAAGGGAAGTGTAAGGGGAAGAGGTTGAAGTTCTGGGGACTCAGCACTTACCACTTTAAGAAAACTCTGAAGGAGCAGGCAGAGGTGCAGAGGGATCCAAGAAAGGCAGGTGATGCAGTGGCCAAGGGAACAGAGCAAATTTGGTGTTACTGGGAGGTCAACAATTAGGAGAGATGTACCGAAAAGAAAAAAAATATTTTTTTGAACGTGAAGCTGAGAGCTGGTCTTAATTTTAACTGCCAAAATTCTGGAGAATCAAGTTTTTGTGAAAGAGTTAGTACTTGACTAAAGAAGACTTACTACTTTTCAGTACTTTTCTCTAAAATGAACCACTTTTACTACTGTGGTATATAATTTTTGAGGAGCATCTAGATTTTTTCCCACATAGCTATTTTTGGAATTTTTTTTTTTTATCTTCTACAATGTTTTCTAATGAACTTTCTTCTAAATTTACCAAGAGTGTTGCTCTAGGGAAAAAAAAATTGTATTGAGTATTAAAGATATTAGACTAGAGATTCTCAATCCTGAAATTATATTAAAAGCACCTTGGGAACTTTAAAAAAAAAATTGATGCCCAAGCTCTATTTTAGAATAATGAAATCAGTCTCTGAAGGATTGTGCCTGGGAATCAGAATTTTTTAAGGCTCTCAAGATGATTTGAATGTACAGTAAAGGTTGAGAACTACTAATGTAGATGATAAAAGTATAAATTTGGCAATTTTTTAAAAGTTTGTTTTCTGTTACAGCAATTGACATGTGGTCTGCAGGTGTCATATTTCTTTCTTTACTTAGTGGACGATATCCATTTTATAAAGCAAGTGACGATTTAACTGCTTTGGCTCAAATTATGACAATTCGTGGATCCAGAGAAACTATCCAAGCTGCTAAAACTTTTGGTAAGCAGTTTTATATTATAGGACAAAACAAATGCTTTTGATTCTCTTCTACAAATTACTGTATTTAATAAGTTATTATGAAATATTCTTTATAAATAAACATGCTGTATTCATAAAGTTTTCACATGTTAGAAAATTTTTCAGATGCTTAAAAATTAATTGCATCGTTTAAGAAAATTTTTTATCACTTCTATATATCTAATTATTTAATCTTATCAAGCACAAAGTGCTACACTTCCCCAGTATTTAAAGTGTAACTATATAATCTTAAAAAAATAAGGAATAAAATCCTAATTCCCTGTAGTTGTGATTTGACTTTATTGCATAAATATTTTTAATAATACTTTTAAATTTGTGTATTTAATGTGTCTTTAAGCATTGGATGCTTTGGGGCCTGCCTTAAACAATCTTAGTCTATACTAACAAGTAAACATTTCATTATAATACAGTGTAGTAAGTATGATAAAATGTGTGTAAGTTACTAGGTTTCTTAGGGCAAGTGTAGCAGAAAAGAAAATGAACGGAACACCTTTACTGACGTAGTTGTGTTGTAAGTGTACAAGGCCAAAAAAAACCCCCCAGAATTATCTTCTGCAAGGGGGGCCCCTTGTAGTGCAGCTTCCCCCGCTAGGTGAGTGTTCTAGGCACCCACCTGTATCAGTGCACCAGGTAGCTGGTGATATGGTGAGAGGCTGTGTTAGACTTCAGTGAATTTTTTTTTAAGACTTTCAATGTGTTTGCGTATTTTATGATAGGCGATTTATGAACGCACCTGCCCACACCATACTGAATGTTCAGTGGTTTTTGACCAAAAATGCTATGCCCCACTCTCCCTACTTCCGATCTCGCCCTCTGTGATGAAAAAAGTCCCCAACAGGAGATGTTTTGCTGATGTGGAAAAGATGAAACAAAAAACAGCAGAAGCACTAAAAGGCATCAAAATCCATGGGTTCAAAACTGTTCTGGGCAGTGGAAAAATGTCTCGATAGGTGTATTGCATCAAATGGAGAGTACTTTGAAGGTGACTGAAGTTTAAACATGTAAGAATAAATAATTTTTTTCATAAATTCCAGGTTTTTTGGGTCTCCCCTCATGTATTGGACATGGGAAGTCATCCCCTTAACTACACAAAGTTCTCACAGTTCAAGACTGGGATATACAATGTACATAATAAGGCACCTGAGAATTACTTCAGCGTTGCCCTGGCCAAAAATCTGAACTCAAATGCCCACCTGTGTTTATTCCCTATGCACAGTTATGTTGATACTTTTCAAAGTGGATGGGTGTGACTTAGTCAGCATGTTATCGTACAACATAAAACACCCCTTTGGGATAGAATTTCAGTCAACCCACTTCAAGAGTAGCTTGGCTACTTTGTGCCCAGCCCCAGAATCATCAGGTTTTAATCAGGTGCAATCAGAATTATCTGAGCAACTTGAAGAAATACATATGCTTGATGAAAGCATAAATGGATAGAACAACAAATGTATGTTTCTCTTTCTTTTTTTCCCCTTTCCTCAAATCAAATTTAAAAAAATACAGAAAAAAAAAGAAATATACACGCTTGTCTCACCCCATCTGTTCTTGGAAAATACAACTCAGAAAAATATATGTAGGAAGGGCCCACACTAGTTTATAAATAAATAAATAGGACCACGACCTACTTCTAAGAAAATAATTGTCCCTTGCTTAGGTACCAATGCTGTGATCTAATTCACCAGAAAAACCTAGTGGTGGTTTTAAAGAAAACCTTGTAATAGACACTTATCAAGAAATGTTTCTGCAGCAAAGTCAACCCAAAATTTGTGACTTTCTTGGACTTGTTAAGAGAAAAATTACTATTTTACCCTCTTCTGTGTCCTCTATGTCCCCTTTCTCTCTGGTAATCATCTCAGTGTTGCCTGTGTCTGTGAGGGTATGGATTTTTTGTTTGTTTTTTGCTTAATCCTTTTACCTTTTTCACCCTGCCCCTCCCCTCTGACAGCTGTCAGTCTGTTCTCTGTGAATCTGTTTGTTTTGTTTTTTTGTTTATTTTGTTCATTAGATTCCGCATATGAGTGGAATCATATGGTATTTCTTTTTCTCTGATTGGCTTATTTCACTTAACATAATGTTCTCCTGGTCCATTCATGCTGTTGCAAAGGGTAGATTTCCTTTTTATTGCTGTGTAGTATTCCATTGTATAAATGTTACCACAGCTTTTTTATCTACTCATCTACTGATGGGCACTTGGGCTGCTTCCAAATCTTGGCTATTGTAAATAATGCTGCAATGAACATAGGGGTGCATATATTCTTTCAAATTAGTGTTTCAGGTTTCTTAAGAGAAATAGCCAGAAGTGGGATTGCTGGGTGAAAAGATAGATCCATGTTTAATTGTTTGAGGAAACTTCATACTGCATTCCACAGTGGCTGCACCAGTCTGCATTCCCACCAACAAGTGCACAAGGGTTCCCTTTTCTTCACATCCTCGTGAACACTTGTTTGTAGATTTATTAGTGATAGCCATTCTGACAGGTGTGAGGTGATATTCACCGTGGTTTTAATTTGCATTTCTCTGATGATTAGTGATGTTGAGCATCTTTTCATATGTCTACTGGCCTTCTGTATGTCCTGTTTGGAGAAGTATCAGTTCAGATCCTTTGCTCATTTTTAAATTGGATTATAAAAGAAAATTTTATCTAAGGAAAATAGTGTGAAGTAATACATACATACAGGGGGGAAGTGATCATAAATAGAAAGCAAGATTGATACCTTGGAAATTTTATTTTTATATGAGTATGTTTATTCTCAGCTGATTAAGAAAACTTTTATCTACTATTGAATAACTTTGTGAGAAGTTTTTAAAAAATGTTTATCAGAGAATATCAAAACATTTTGTTGAGCTAAATCTTCCCCGTCTGTAGTCGCAGTTATAATGAGTACCAAGTATAATGTCTGACGCAAAAATATTCCAGGGCAAGTGTCATGTAGCAGTAAAAGGCTTTTAGAGATTTATTGTTGTAATGCTTGTTATCCATAAAAAAAATAATGCTATATAGCACTTGTCTTAGTTTGGCTAGTATGCCTTTTATAGTTAGGTCAGTCAAATCTTACTATCACTTTTGAATGGAGGACTCAAAACTTTAGCAGTCATAACTGTGTTATCTTTTATGATTCAAAGAAATGACTTCCTTAAGATTAGCAGTGAGAATGCTTTTAATTCCCTTCTATAACCTGCCCCAGGGTCCTCAACCATTAGAAGGGGCCGCATGATAGATTGTCATTATGTATATGTTGAGTTGTGGCAGATAAATTGAAAAGGTGGTCGTGGCTGGTGGCTTGATTGGTTGGAGCATTGTCCTCTACACCAAAGGGTTGTGGGTTTGATTTCTGGTCAGGGCACATATCTAGGTTGCAGGTTAGATCCCTGGTCCCAGGGTGTGTACAGGAGGCAACCAGTCAATATTTCTCTCTGGCTCTCTTCCTCTCTCTCTCTCTAAAATCAGTAAACGTATCGTTGGGTGAAGGTTAAAAATTTTTTCAAATGAAAATTTTGTGTATTCATTCAGAAATATTTATTGGGACTCTGTGTGTGCCAGATATTATTGTTGAGTCTCTGTTCTCATTGAATTTAAATTCTGGAAGGGAAGACAAAATAAACAAGTATAACTGTCATATAGATTAGTGGTATTGAGAAAGATAAAAGGGGAAAGGGAATGAAGAGGACTCAGTTATTTTGGATAGGTTGGTCAGGGACAGCATCTATAAGATGTGATATTTGAACAATGACGTGAGAGGCTGAATAATGCCTTTTTGTTTAGTCCAACCATCATTAATTGAGAACCTAGTATGTAGCAAATTTGTCTAGGTTATGGGGGATCAAAGATAAATAAGATAGTCCCTATGTTCAAAGAGTCCACAGTCTACTAAGTGAGACAGGCATACATTTTATCAGTTACAACACAGGGTAGTAAAAGTAGTAGTAGAAATCTTCACAGGATGCTGTAGAAGTTGAGAATAATCAACTCTCTAAGGGGGTCAGTTGTCACAGAGGTAATTCTTGAGGTGAGTGGAGTGTCCTGGGCACATGGGCAAGAGCAGGGCATCCTGGCCAAGACGGACCATGTAGTCAAATTCATACAGAATTTGCAGCTGATTAAAGACTACAGAAGGACATGATGAAGCTGGAGAAGTTGACAGAGTCATGTGAGTCCGTATCTGAATAAGTCACTCTTTTGTACTTACTATCTCCCACTTTATGATTTGGCCTTCAACTGTGCAGCACAAAACACAACCTAAAATAGCATGTGGTGCTCTATCTCACACTCACTATAAATATATCCACAAAGCAATGGTTGGACTTGCGTATTTCATATGAGAGAGACTTCGGGTTTGAGCAAATAATTAAATGTGTGATTTTTCTCTTTTAGGCAAATCAATATTGTGTAGCAAAGAAGTCCCAGCACAAGACTTGAGAAAACTCTGTGAGAAGCTCAGAGGTATAGATACTGCTGCTCCCAAAGTAACAAGTGATATACAGGGACCTGCTCATGACCCAGCTGTTTCAGAGAAGACTGACCATAAAGTTTCTCACCTCAGACAAGCACCTCAAGGACAGCACTCAGGAAATTCATTGTATAAAGGGCACAGAAATGGCTGTGGGGGTTGTTTTGATGTGAACACTACCAATTTAGAAGGCTGGGACAAGGTACCTGATGAAGCTTATGACCTGCTTGATAAACTCCTGGATCTAAATCCAGCTTCAAGAATAACAGCAGATGAAGCTTTGTTGCATCCTTTTTTTAAAGATATGAGTTTGTGATTATTGTTCTTCATTTACTGTTTGCTGTTGTGTATTGTGAGGTAGGGTGGAAAAGTTCTTTGTATAGCCATAAATTCTTGATTAGAGAGCAGGGCAGGACGAGTAATTTATTTTAAAGTTTCAGTATTTGCTCTTGTAGCAGATTATAAAATATGGATTAAGATTACTTGTGGTGCCTGGGATAGTTCTTTGGACTAACAACATGATCTTTTGAGCTAGATCTCCTCAAAGAGAATAAGCACTTTAGCTTCCCTAATTACTTGTCATTGCCATATGCAGTTTTAGCCTAGTATCTTGGGGTTCAAAGTGCAAGTCCGAAAACTCATGGATGTGTTAGGGGTTAAAGGAGCCAAAAGACTTGCCTTATTGGTTTCTTTGAACATGAGCTATGCATACCTTTGGAAAACTCAGCCTGGTACTGTAACCATTCCATAGGTTAAGATAATTTCCTTTTCTAGAGGCATATATTATACCTCTTATGAACACTAAAACAATGAGAAAATGTTTAGGGGGTATATCACATAGAATTGAGTTGAATTTATCCATTTTAAAAAGTATTTTGTGAAAGCATTTATTCTGTGAATTGCCATTTTTAAAAAAATGGTTTCTCTTGGTTTTTTTGCTTTCTCTACCTGCAGCTTACACATTCTCCTTGGAAATTATATGGTGCTTTCCACAAAGTTTCTGGGTGCTTTGTTAAGTATTGCATATGTTTACAGTTGGAAACTTAAAATAACGCATACACTGGTTGATAATGGGAAGCTGTAGGACTAAGATAAAGACCAGTACTCCAGATTCTTTTCTTTTTCTCTTAGTGTGTATGGTGGTTTGTTTGTTTGTTTGTTTGTTTTTTGGTTTTTTTTTTTTTAATACCATGATAGGTATAATTAGGTAGCTGTTAAAAGGAAGAGTAAACACAAAATTGAGAATATTATTGGAGATTTTCCTCTGCCTAAAGCCATCCAGATCTCTGTTTTGACTAAGTTGGTCCTGCTCAGAGAAGGTTGATTACTGGAGTCTTGACTGGAGCGGAAAGAGATAATGAAGTAGGCAAAATAGAAGACCAAGGATAGAAGTTTATGTATTACTTAATTCCAAAACGATTTATCAGTGTTAGTATATCCAAATGTCTATGGGAAATAAGTCTGGGGATGTTGATTTGTTGAGAAATTTCCCATTATTAGAAGTTGTAGAGTATAAAACCAGCCTAGGGACGTAAAACATTCATTTTATTTTGAATGTTGAAGTCACTATGTCTACCTACTCCATTTGGTAAGTATGGTATATATATGTAAGCCATTACCATTGATCTGCTCTGTGTTATGCTGTAATCTTAACAACAGAACAAACTTGAATGTTTTTTGAGTTTGTATGGTTAATAAAATTACCCTTTTATATATTTTATGTCAGGCTACTCATTTGAAAAATACCTGTTGAAAAACAAGTATTGACTCCTGGGAGTATTTTCCTTGTCTTTTTCTTTTTGAAATTATATTTTATTGATTATGCTATTAGTTGTCCTGATTTTGCCCCCCTCTACTTAGCACCCCCCACTCCCTCAGGCAGTCCTCACACCATTGTTCATTTCCATGGGTCATGCATATAAGTTCTCTAACTACATATTTGTACTTAATCCCTCACTTCTTTATCCATTCTCCCACACCCACCTTCCATCTGGCAACCATTAGAATGCTCTCTGTATCCATGAATCTGTTTCTGTTCTTGTTTGCTTTGTTTTTTAGATTCACTTGTTGATAGATATATATTTATTGCCATGTTGTTGTAGTTTTCATCTTTTTCTTAAATAAGTCCCTTTAACATTTCATCGAATAATGGTTTGGTGATGATGAACTCCTGTAGTTTTCTTCTTGTCTGGGGAACTCTTTATCTGCCTACCTTTTGATTCTAAATGATAGCTTTGCTGGGTAGAACAATCTTGGGTGTAGGTCCCTGCTTTTCATGACTTTGCAGGCTAGAAGGGATTGGCAAGAAATATTCAGAGTTTCTTTTGAGAAATCAGCTGACAGTCTTATGGGAACTCCCCTGTAGGCAATTAACTGCTTTTCTCTTACTGCATTTAAGATCCTCTCTTTAACCTTTAAGCTTTGGCATTTTAATTATGATGTGTCTTGGAGTGGACCTCTTTGCATTCGTCTTGTTTGGGATTCTCTGTGCTTCCTGGATTTGCATGTCTATTTCCTTCACCAAATTAGGGAAGTTTTCTTTCATTTTTTTTTTTCAAATAGATTTCCAGCTTCTTGCTCTTGTACTTCTTCTGGCGCCCCTAGGATGGCAATGATGGGATGCTTGAAGTTGTCCCAGAGGCTGCTTTCACTATACTTGTTTTTGGATTCTTTTTTCTTCTTGTTCTGGTTAGTGGTTTTATGCTTCCTTATGTTCCAAATCATTGATTTGATTCTTGGCTTCATCCACTCTACTGTTGTATCCCTGTAAGTTCTTGATTTCAGTTAGTGTACCCATCATTTCTGACTGGATCTGTTTTATGCCATAGAGGTCCTCACTGAGTTCCTTGAACATCCTTATAACCAGTGTTTTGAACTCTGCATCTGATAGATTGCTTATTTTCATTTTGTTTAGTTCTTTTTCTGGAGTTTTGATCTGTTCTTTCATTTGGGTCATGTTTCTTTGTTTCATTTTAGCAATTTCCCTGTGTGTGTTTCTATGTATTAGGTAGAGCTACTATGACACTCTGTCTTGTTAGCGTGGGCTATTGTAGTAGGTGTCCTGTTGATTCCAATGGCACAGCCTTTCCTGTTCACCCAAGCTGGGTACTCAGGGTGCACCATTCATCGGGCTGAGTACACTCTCTTGTAGTTGAGCCTTGGTTGCTGTTGGCGGGTCAATGGTAGGGATTTACTCAGGCCAGTGAGCTGCAAGAACTGGCTGTGACACCCGACCACCAGCCTCCGCCCTCTGTGCAGTATGAGCTGTGCAAGGGCAGGGTGGTGGTGCTTCAATGTGGTTATGGCTGTTCACTGGGTGCACGGGCTCTGGGGTTTCCAGGGTGGTGCAGGCCAAGGTCAGCCCCCAGCTGTGTTCTGCCTGAGGCTACCCTGTCTGCCTGAGTTATAAAGCAGTCTGAGATGGCTGCCACTTGTGCTGGGCTTGGAGATTCCCAGGTGAAGCCAAGCTGTGAATCTAGGGTGGCTGCTGCTAGTGCCAGGCCTGGGGCTACTTAGCAAGAGGTATGTGGGTGGGGGCTCACTGAGGTCAGCTGTTGCCTGTTTGATAGGATTTAGGAAGTTGTGAAACATGATCCAAGACCAGGCATTCCTATGGAAAAGTTATGGTTAACTGCGGTTGGGCCCCTAAGTTGGATGGGACAGACCTCAGGATCTCCAGAGCAAGGCAAACAGTGTTAGCCAGGTTGATGGAGTCTCAGATATGGTACCTGCCTGCAGGCTCTGGCTCTGGCTGTGTGAGGGGAGGCCTCAGAAAAGGGGCAATGGCCTCTGCTCACCTTTCTGTTTGGGAGAAAACTATCTTCCAACTCCACCTTAATGTCAGATACTTCAGTTCCTCCCTGTATGTCATTGGTGCCTTTCCAAGTTGCCACCCCAGTGCTGGAGCTCAGAGAGAGTGAATCTGGGTAAGTCCATGTGTGGGTTCTTTAAGAGGAATGCTTGGGACTCCATAAATTTCTTCCACTGACTCAATCCCCACTGGTTTTTGCACCCAGAAGTTGCAGTGACCCATCTTCTTGGCACAGGAACCCTGGGCCGCGGGGCCTGGTGTGGGGCTGGGACTACTCATTCCTGAGACATCCCTCCTGGTTTGTTATCCATCACATGTGGGTGAGGGACCAGCCCATTCCACATCTGTGCCCTTCCTACTAGCCTAGATGGATGTGGTTTCTTTAATTCTGTAGTTGTTAGACTTCGTTCAACTTGATTTCTGACAGTTCTGGGTAATGGGTGTTCTGTATTTTAGTCATAATGTGTATGTGGTTGTGTGAGGAGGAGAGCTCTGTTTACCTAAGATGCCATTTTGACGAGTAGTGAAGCAGTCCTGAAATTGATGAATGCTCTCTCTTCAGCAAATAGTAGGTAGTAAATTAAGAAAAATTTCTTCTGGCTCAAGTAATACATGAAAGATAAAACTAGATTTTTTTTTTTTTAATAGAAAAGGTGTTCCTTGACTTCATTTTTAGGATATTTGTTACAAATAGTAAAGGAATAAACTCTCTAAAATGAAGCCTAAGCTAAAGAAAAAATTTGTTAATGTGACTCACAATCAAGTTAACATAGTCTCAGAAAATTAACAGGAAGAAAAATTTAGCTACCAAAAGCTCAGGGAAGGAGACATTCTCTTAAGAACGTTTAATATTCAGAGCTATTACAACTCTGTTAATGTCACTTTTAGAATAGAATTTGGTTCATGTGCAAGGGGAGGTAAAGGGAGCTAGTGCTTCAAAAGGCATCCAGTGTTACAAATTGGTTCTCAGGGAATTTCAGTCCCACTAGAGAATGTTGCTTCACTTTGGGGTGCTATATATATAGAAATTAGCAAGGAGCTTCTGTAGGCATGTTCTTTAGTGTTTTTGGCCTTCTGAACACCATTTGATAATGGCTGAGATCTCCCTAAAAGATTTTAATTAGGCAAAATAGCCATTTTTAGGAAAAGATTAAGAAGGTAAGTAATTATGTTACGGGAGTTACTAGAATATTCAGCTATTTTTTATTTTCAGCTTTTAAAATTCTTACTGCTCAAATTCTTGAGATAAAACTGTTAAGGGTGTTTTCATTTAGTAAGCCTTAAATGTTTAGAACTTAATATAACAAGCTGCATGTATTGTTTTTTGAAATGAGCTACAGCTCTGTAGCATTTTTTTTTAACTTGTTTATTAGTATTACGTATTTGTTTCAGGTGTACAACTTAGTGGTTAGAGAGTATACTTTACATAATGTTCCCCTTGATATATCCAGTTCCGCATCTTGCATTCTTAATAAAATGTTTCTTTTTAAGGAGATGATTATGGTTGTCTTTATGACCTGTATAAAAATGTGGCTCAAGAATGGTTATTCTAAAGAAACTAACCTTAGTTTATTTCTAAATCTGAACGAAAGTCATCAAGTGATGTTAATCCCTTATGTTTCTAGCATCTGCATCTTGGGAACAGAATGGTGTTACAGATGTCAGAATATTGATTGCGTAAAATCTTGAAACCACAAAACTTGTAAGCTTAGATCTTAGTAATTTCTGCTGTTTATGTAATTTCAGCCCCACACGTCACCGAAAAGTTATTTATCTTAAACTGTGGCCAAATTTGGTGGGTACTGTGTCTGCCAGTGTCTGCAGATGTATTGTTTCCGCCTACATTTGGGTGTGCTGTCTGGTCTAAAGAATACTAACAACCGGCAGAAGTGTCAACTCTGTTCAGATTTTTTCTTGTGTTCTTAGAACTGATGTGGCTGCATCCTAATTTTGTCTAATTGTGTTTGAACTGTCTGCTTTCCTCAAAAGGTGGGTATTATCCCCCATGTGCTAGATAAGTAATCAGAAGTAGTTAATGCTGTGTTAAATTATAGCAAGACTTTCAACTGTGTAACCACAAAGTTAA